GGGAGGCTGAGGCAGAAGGATTGCTTGAGCCTAGGAGTTTGAGGTTGCTGTGAGCTAGGCTAATGCCACGGCACTCTAGCCAGGGCAACACAGTGAGACTCTGTCTCCAAAAGAAAAAAAAAAAAAAGAAAGGAAAAAAGGAAAAGAAAAGTGACAGGAAGGGAACTGCAAGAGAGCAGGGAGGACTCAAATGGGAGGTTCAGATGACAATTGTTGTATCTCAAATTTTCAAAGAAAGGTCGAGACTTCGCCATCACAGAAGGTACAAGTAGAATATGGTGTGGATAAGACAGTGTGTGACATTTATGTTTTCCAAAAAGCAACAGAGCGTATCAAAGTTAAATAGCAACTGAAAACATTCAAATGTTGACAAGAAGGTACTGAGAACAGTACCACAGCAGTTAAAACAGCTAATACTTAAGTTTCTAACCAACAGGCCTGTATCAAAGGCTTCTGGTCTATTATGTCGCTTAATTCTAATGCCAATCCTGAGAGACTGGTATTTTCGGACCCGTTTTAAGGATTAGGTAACTGATGCTCAGAGAGGGTAAGTAGCTGGTCAAAGATCTCACGTCTTATAACGGAGCCGAGGCTTGGACTCCAGCAGACTTCACCCATCCATCTCCCCAACCCTCCTCTCAGCAGACACTCACCAACCGGCTACTGCCGAGCTCCTAGGTGTGTTACTGGGAACGGAGAACAGACGCAGTCTTTGCTCTCAGGAGAAAGTCAACAAACACACACTACGAACGAAATGGCAGAGAGCAGTGCTAGAGAGGAGAGTGGGGCGCGACCACATTACACGGCCTGGACGGAGGGGTCCAAATGGGAATAAGGGACAGGAAGGAGCCAGGCACAGGACGAAGGGGCAAGCGTTCACAGACGCGGGACGAGCACGTGCAGCGAACCCGAGACAGACCCACACAGCTGCAGGGACGTGGCAAGAAGCACGGCTGCAAGGAGGTCTGCAGGCGGGGAGGGGTCACAGCACCGGGCTGCGGCAGGTTAGGAGTTTGGGCTTCACTTTAAGTGCAATGGGAACATAGGGTGGTTTTAGTGTATTTGGGTTCCTAAAAGACCACACTGGTTTCTATAAGGGGCAGTAACAGAAATGGAGATCAATAAGGAGACTTTGTAGGATTCCAGGAGAAATGAGCTGGCAGCAGAGACTGAAGAAATGAACCTCAGAAACGATCCGGGCTGTATCTTGGTGGTGGGAACTGCTACTCTGCAACAATCGCCCTCCCTCCCCACTAGGAGTGTTACCAGATAAAATACAGGACACCCAGTTAAATTTGGATTTCAGATACCAACATTTTTTAAGTACATTCCATGAAATATTTGGGACATAACTTATACTAAATTTTTTTTACTGTTTATCTGAAACTCAAATTTAATTAGGTGTCTTGTACTTTTATTTGCTAAATCTGGCAACCCTACAACTAGGCAAGTCTCTACTTTACGGGGAGTAAATTGCTCCAAGATTCTTCCGTCACAGCCCCTTGAGATGCGCTAGCTCTTCTCCGAATTAGAGGCCAGACCTCTCGCCATCACCACCATGGTGCTATGCTTCCGCTCCTACTTCCTTTGAATATTTCATTCATCCGTCTCACTTACCAATAATGTATATGGGTGCCCAAAGTCTACTGAGTGGCACTGTACCAGACATGGAATTTTACTCAGTGGTCATAAAGAATGCTAGTGAATGCACGTGCATGTGTGCCTGTGTGTGTGTGTGTATGTGGGTGGGTGTGGGGGGTGTGCACCTGCTGTGTTAACCTTTTAAAATGAAGACAATGCTAACAATACATCACCAGGAATACATTTTGAGTGTTTTCTTTAACAGCAGTGAATTAAATTTGCGTCCACGTTGATGAAAGCTATTTAGATCCTATAGCAGTAGAACTGGTTATTGAATAACCTGAAAGAGAAAAGCTTCGAGTTCATTCAATAATCAGTGTCTATCAAAAGGTAAGAGCTAGGAATTCTCTTTTTAAAATCCTACTATGTGAAAAGAATCTGAAAGTTCAGGCTACAGTTTTTTACCTGAGTGTTCCTTTTGCATACATTCAAGTGTTTGAATTCCCAGTTTCAGTACTGAGAAAAAAAATTACAGCAAACATAAACCTAGTTAATTATATGAGACATGCAGAGCACGGTTACTATTTGCTATTGTTCCACAACAAGATAAGCAGCTTGCTCCAGAATGAAAATCAACACATCAAGGAAGTTTTGCTATTAAAAAATTGTCAGTTGAACTAAACCAAGTATTTAATCGTGCAGTTGATTTACATCCTGGTGTAAGCTCATTTTCTCATTGTGGACTGGTAACAAAAAACTGATAGAAGATACCTGTTTGGGGATCACACTCTGAGTAGCACTGATGCAGAAGACCCCAGAATTTTATATAACACACCACAGTAAGATGGCATAAATGGAGGTACCGCCTCCTTCTGGCCATTTTGCTGATCAAAGAACCTTTTATTTCCTTGAACTTAACGCATAAATAATCTCTCCATTCTAACACTCTAACGAAACCTACACATCTGTCAAAACAACAGCTGCCCCAATTTTAGAAGGAAGAGGATGTGTGCTTACTCTTCTTGACGCAAGTCATTGACGCTGCGGTCCAGCGAGATCATGTCACTTGCCACCATGTTAAATCCAAACTCTTTAATGCTGGCTTGAACTGCAGGTTTGAATTCTGGTCCCAAAACCAATGGCTTGGCATTCTCTCCAGGGCCACCAACCACTCCATGAGGCTCAGGCTCTTTGGGTTCAAAGTTACCAAGGATCCCTGGGCGGAGCACAGGATCACGGTAGGTAAATGTCTGAGGCTTAAAAGTGAGATACTGCCTCTGCATTATGTCTTTCTGGGAATCTCCTCCAGCATGGTGCTCTTGTTCATTTTTGGCCTTGTTTTTTCTTCTAATAGACTCTAAGTCCACTTCTACTCCTTCAACATGAGGCCATGGTACCACAGGTTTGAATCTGTCATCCCCGGGAGCTAGTCCATTGCCTCCTCGGTTAGGCATGGGGTTATTGACATCTCTGTCTTCCTATACAAAAGGGAGGGGATATACAATGAGTACATGAAGGCAAACCACCACAGCAGAGTTCACGATACCAATGTTCATGTTTTAAAAAAGGCTGAGGCAACCAAACAGTTTAAAATGTGAAACATAAGCAGGCCATTAATCTGGACTTCCCATTAGAGGATACCTTTCAGGGTAGAAAGGAAATACCAAGAAATAGGCTGTTTCCTCATTTTACTATTCCAAAATAAATGCATGGATGCATTGTTTACTTCTCCCTTTATAAACCTAACTCTATCAAAGACCTATTCATAAAGCATATTGTTAAGGATGGCGCAATGAGGTTCTAGGATCTTTGATTAAAACAGACACTTAATAGGTCATGTTGTACAGCATGCGGTTTGCCCAGTCATCTGGTGCACAATAAATATAACTTTTTGTCAGCAACACGGCCATATGGTGGCAGTGGTATGAGATGGATGTCACCCCTCGCTAGGCTGGCTTAGTGCCCCAGTGGCGGAGGAACAAGGTGGGGATATGTATTCAACAGTCCCGATTCAGTATTTTCTACTCAGTGAGAGTTTATCTGCATTCAGAACTATTTAAAAAAACCTCTAATAACTGTAACCAAGTCAGCTTGGGCTTTTAGACCACACCCAATACCTAGTGTGCCCCATTCCAGAGGTGGGCAGGCGAAAGCAGACTCTGCATATAAAGACAGTCACAGGAAAGGCGCCTCTCTTTTCTGTTTGGACCCTTCGTCACCTACGCAGATCTTTCAGTCAGCAATCCTGAGTGCTTTTGCTTCTGAGGTATCATATGTGAAGTTTTTGCTAATCCACTACCATTCTTTGCGCAACGCAGTGTTTCTCAACATTAGCATCACCTCAGCAGTTTTTAAAAATACTGGTATCTGGGTTCCACCCTCAGACGCTGTGATTTAATTGGTCTGGGCATTTGGATTTTTAAAAAGCACCTCTGGTGATTTTAACATGCATCTAGTTCTGGGAATCACTAGCTTAAGGGAGAGCCGCTCACCACAATCAGACAGGGGTCACAGAGCGCACGGCTGGGGAAGGGGCGCGGTGCGCCTAGGACACGCAAAGCAGGCTGACTGCTCTGCCCCCTCCACCTAAGACTGTGCGATTCCTCGACACGTTAATCACACAGTTAGCACCATGTGACCAAAATTTTCCCACAGCATTAGAACTACTTTGAAAAGGTTGAAAATTTTGCTCTAAAGAACACAGAGGTAAGGTTCTGGGCATGATGCTGATGTGTAGGTCGCTGTCTGCTGATGGTTTACTTAGAGGCAAAAATCTCTATAGAAAATTATTTCAGATGTGAATTTAGCAGATAAGGGATGACTAAGGATTGATTTTTGGGAGTTAAAATGGAATTTTTAACAACTATCCACTTGTTCAATTAGGTAATATAAGATATGACCCAAGATTCAGAAGCCCCAAAGGGCGTGCAGCGGGAGCGAGCCTTCCCGCTCCCTTCTGTGGAGTTTCTTCCGAACCTTCCTGGAGATGTTCCATGCATGTGTTCAACATACATGTGTACAGGTAACAAGACAATTTTGCTGAGGACGAGGCACAGATTTTCATTAACACGTTAAAAAGAGAACCCGTAAGATGTACAACTGGTTCGAAGATAAATCCGAAGAACAAACACATAAACATCAAGAACACTGCAGAGAACTTACAAACAGATGCCAGACTAGTTAAACCGGTCAACAGGCACAGGACAATGATCAGCTGTGTTCCACCAGACACAGCTCCCGTTTCAATGGACGAGAATCCTCTGACATATTGTCAGTTTTCTGTAACTTACGAGATTGTAAAACAGCTCAAGGAGGAAAGGGTGAGGTAACCTGGGAAGTTGAGTCAGACAGTACACCAAGTCATCTTTTGGGATCGTTTCAAAGTTTTCCACAACTTTTCCCCTGAAATACAATACTAAATATGAAATGCAACACAGCCTGACCGGATAAATGCAGTAACTTTCTTCAGGGATATGCAGAACAGGTCAGTAAAACCTCTGGATCAGGCTTCTATCGTCACACACATAAGTAGCAAGGACTTAGCTTGAGCCTAACCTGTGAGCTCTACTACAAGTCAGAAGTAAAACAGTAGAAGGCCGTCTTTCCAGAAATCTTATATTCACGAAGGACTGAAGGTTGTTGGGAATTAACTAATCCCAAGAAAAGTGTAAGGTAGGCATGAGTCTTTAACAGAGAGATGAACAGCGTTTGTTTCTTCAATTTGTCTCCCGGATCTTTCCAAAATTACACTCACTTACGGCAGTAAGTAAACTAAAATAGAGAAATCATTATAAAATGCTGTCAGACAGCAAACCCAAGTTTCTGATGCTGAACCAAGTACAACAATAAAAAAGAGGAAGACATTCTCCCCCGCTTCAGTTTTTCACGTCACAGCCTCCAGTAATTGGTAATGGGAGGTAAAAAATGAAGGACAGGAAACGTCCCTAATTATGGAAGAGCAGATTGAGCAGCCCATCAGATGTCAACATCTACAGCCATAGCATCCACTCCCTTATTTACTGCTCCACGGGGAAAACCGTGTCTTAGAAGAACATGGAATATGATGGTGCATGAGATCAAACTGCCCAAACTGTAAAATGCATGCTATAGCTTGGGTTGGTCTAAGCTAATATAAAAATTGCAAATTTAAATATTTTTCAAATTCACCCACTTCAACTTTTTTTTTTTTTTTTTTTTTGAGACAGAGTCTCACTGTGTTGTCCGGGCTAGAGTGCCGTGGTGTCATCCTAGCTCACAGCAACCTCAAACTCCTGGGCTCAAGCCATCCTCCTACCTCAGCCTCCCAAGCAGCTGGGACTACAGGCATGTGCCACCATGCCCGGCTAATTTTTTCTATGTATTTTTAGTTGTCCAATTAATTTCTTCCTATTTTTAGTAGGGACGGGGTCTCGCTCTTGCTCAGGCTGGTCTCGAACTCCTGAGCTCAAACAATCCGCCCGCCTCGGCCTCCCAGAGAGCTAGGATTACAGGTGTGAGCCACCACTCCCGGCCCAATAAGAGAAGTTTTAATGGGTTCAAGCTTTCATACTTCTCTTCCTCCAAAAACTGTTTTGATCTATTCTTTGACTTAATGGCTCTTTGTGTGATCTTAAACTGTCATTTTCTTTAAGGTTCTGTCAGAAATCTCTTTGTCATTCCATCCTCGTTCTGGGTTATTTCGTTCTCTTCCAAGCTTGGTGACAAATTTTACACTGACCACTCCTACATCTGTTTCCCCAGCATACATCACCCTTGCGATGGTCAGACCTTATGTCAACTGCTTCCTGAACGTTTCTATGTGTATCCCTCTAGCACCTGAATTTAACATTCCCAAAACTGAACCTACCATTCGCCTCACATCACAAACCTGTTTCACTTACTGTCTTCCTTACTTCAGGGACTGGAACCACCACTCACTCGACTAAGTCCAAAACCCACAATCCACCCTCAACTTCTTGTTCTCTTTTATCTGCCTTACTGACATCCAGTCAATCACAAATTCCTGTTAATTCCATCACCTGTGTAGCCCCTGAGTCTGGCCACTTCTATTATCCTCACTGCCATTACCTCAGGCCACTGTCACCTCGAAGCAGAACTATTGCAACAGTAACGATTGTGAACACTCTATTCTAAGTGCTTCACAGATAGTAACATTTTTAATCCCATGAATTAGGTACTCTGATTACCATCACTATTTTATAGACAGAAATCCTAACAGAGAAGTTACCCAAGATCAGAATCAATACCCGGCATACAAAATTTCAGTCCAAACAGTCTGGCTCAAGAGTCCATATTCTTAACCACTATAACTTGGTGCTTCTCAACCTAATGCATGAACCTCCTACGCGAAAGCCACAAGGACTTTTCTAACATTCAAATATGAACATGTTACCTTCCCTGCTTACGACATTCCACCAGGCCCACTGCCCTCAGGGGAGTTCACGCTCTTTGACAGGGCTGATGGGGCTTTTCAGGCTCCAGCCTGCATTTACGTAACATCTCCATCATTACCCGTGACAGCAGGGGTCAGCTAACTTTTTTGGGGAAGGGTCAAGTAGTAAATATTTTTGGCTTCACCGACCACGGGTCTCTGTGCAATTATTCAAGTCTGCCTTTGTAGTGTGAAAGCAGCCATCGGACAGTATGTAAATGAACGGGTACAGATGTGCTCCAATGAGTCTTCATTAACAAAGACAGGTGTGGGCTGGATCCGGTCCCCCAATCTCTGCACTAGACTGTAAATTCTGTGAAAGTACAGAGGCTTTGTCTATCATACACACCATTGCATACCCAGCGCCTATCCTGGCACATAATTCTCAATACATATTTACTGAACAAATGAATGAACCCTAAAATTTCTGTTTTAGTAAACAGAGAGACACTGAGCAGAAAAGGGAAAGATAGAGGATGGAGAATATGAAATGGGAGAGGAGGCTCCGAGCAGACAGACCCTTCCTGCAACACTTAGTGAATCCACCAATGAGACCTCTGTATTCTCTGTGCAGTATTACACTCTTAACAACACCACATAATGCCAGGAAAATTGAATTTGCTCATTTCTCAAAGTTTGCATGTGGCAAAACCAAGTATGAAGACTGTCTACCTCCAAGTCAATTCAGAATAATCATGTCAAATCTTAATACTGTATGACTCAAAGAATGGCTAAAAGCAGAGTCATACTTCACTCCCCTGAGATCCTTCTACATACTCCTTCTTCCTGAGAGTGAATGGGAGTCAGCAGATGCCTTTGTGAGTCACTGGTACTACGATACCTTCATAGCCACCAGCTGTTTTACTATAGAGCCAAATCAGTGAGTCGCTGTTGACTAGAAATGGAAAAGAGGACCAGTAGATAATTTTCCAAGATCAGTGTGTTCATAAAGGTAAAAATGGACTGAAAAATACAATCACTATCACCAGACAGTAATATGGATTACCATAAATAAAGTCACGCTAGTCACTATCCACCTCATAATTGACAAAGTCCCCTGACCCCTGACCCCCAAACTCTACTATGTGTGATATTTTTCCAAGATGGTCATACCTTGGTAGAAATTATATAAATTCAAAGGGATTTAAAGAAATGGTCATTAGCGCATATGGCAGTAATATGGGCTTGTTTGGATTTGAAATCATCCAACCTGGAAAACTGAACTGGACCCTGGAAAACTGAAGTCTTAATGATGAGCTTATGCAGTCACATGATCTCTTGAGAAATTACGACTTAGCTTTAAGAAATGGCCACTGCTGAACAACATGCACACTATTTGGTTATCATTTGTCGTGAGCCACAGAATTTAAAAGTATAACAAGCCAAATCTTATTCTGAATTTAAAAACTCTCAATCAGAAACACCTTTAACTAGGAAAAATCCCATCAGCATCCTTTCTCTGGAGGCACTTAGTCACTCGGAAGGAGCAGAAGGAGCAGGCTCAGAGAGCAGGCAGGTGTGGTAAACATAAACAGGCTCCAGTTCGGAGGGAACGCGGCGTGCTTGTAGGCTGCGCTCCCAAGACTCCTAGCAACGCGTGGCAGGATGTAGGTGGGGCGGTGGGGCCCTCCAGCCTCAGTGGCTCGTTTCCCTCTGCTTAGCTGCTGCTGGAACGCAAGCCAATCTATCTGACATTTGGGCTCACTGAAGACCTTCAAGCGTTGCTCCTCCCAGAGCACTGGGAGCTGTGGCCCTGCGGGGTGTGGGGAGGGGCAGGCGCCAAGAGACTTCACCAGTCCTTGAATATCCAGGATGTCATCCCTTACAGGAAAGGACCCTATTCCCAGTATATGTTAATACCCCTAAACTAGGAAGAGATTTAAGGCCGCTTTCCAACGGCAATGCCTCTGTTAGCAACTAGGGCAGAACTGAAAATGGAGAAAGTGTGCTTCTACATAACTTTATACAAATATGAAAGGTCTATACAAGCTCTGGGTATGGTTTCATAAGATAAAGTATGACATTCTGATAATAATTATCTGCTCAAAGAAATAGACTCGCTGAAGGAGGGATTCCTTTTCTTTCCGACTTTTTAAAGTACCCGGCCAGGATATAAATCAAAAGTAACAGAATGGAGAAAAGAGCAGGATTAACATCACGTGACTGCCTCACCAACAGAAATCCAGGTCAGCAACTCTAATGCTGCACATTAGACTTTAGCAGGGCAGCCAGGCTGAGTACTATACAGTAAACTATTAGAGTTCAACCCAAACTTACCCTGGAGACTGGAACAGCAGACTCTTGACTGCGGAGAGCTGCCTATTATATAATAGCTAATGGTTATTTCTTTTGTTTTTCTCTCAAGACTTCTGATACACTATGGCAACCACAGTTACAAATGTGTAAGTTAGTGCTACACTTTTAATCACCTTCTTCTTCCAGGTAAACAGTAAGACCTGGATGCTCAGAGTGGAAAACTTTGATCCCTTCTAAGCGTTTAAGATTTTATCAGGTTTCTAAAGGGGCATTTTGAACTAAATGCTAACCCCCCTTAACCAAATAAGCAAATAAAATGCAGTATATGATACAGATCTATCCTGTACTATAGTGAATAGTACTGAAATTAATAGGTATCTTCCTAAAAAGTTGGCTATATCACATTTTTGAACATTTAGTCATCTGAATAAAAGGAAGATTGCCATTACCTAAGAACCTCCCAATAAATCTCACAGTTGTGCAATTAGTTAATCAATCTTTGGATTTTCATACATACCATTTGGTATTCTTAAAAGACATGCCCATCTGCATTGGCACACAATTTTCTGAAGATCTCTGTGCATCCTATACAATAATCATGGTCAACTATACACTATCTAGATACGGCAAGTTTTCAGTCTTGGGCTCTTTTCCCAGTTTTAAAAAAATTTCTTCCCCATCATTAGGATAAGATAATTTTGTGATTTGCCAGATTTAATGCGAAAACTAAATGTACTGAATATACTATATGTTCAGTAGAAAGATATCAACAATTTTTTTGGCGATCAACTATTTTGAGTTATTGACAATAACCTCAGGAATGTTACCTAAAACCATCCACATTTTCTGATGCCTGGTCCAAGCATCCATTCCGGTCTGCTCCTTTTGGAGGCTGTGAATTCCCTTTTTAAGCAGAAGACAAAGGCAGGTACAGTCATCCCAGCTGTTTCTCGTAATCCACGCAAGGCTTCTTCTTCCAGGTAAACAGTAAGACCTGGATGCTCAGAGTGGAAAACTTTGATCCCTTCTAAGCGTTTAAAATCATCTAGGGGACCAAACAAGGGTTGAACAAGTTTCTTCCTACCAGGCTAACACTTCAATTTAGGATATAAAAAAGTATTGACACATCAGTCCCACATGTTCTCTCTTTGGATAATAATTATCCACTGATCGTATCCCCAGTTTCAAATTAGCCAGCGCCCAGTTTCGATGGCCATCTCTATTTCAAGTAGATATCCTGGTAAGTTTTTACAATTTAATCCCACACATATCCTTGGACACTGCAAGTGAGTACCCTTGTGTGTGTGTGTGTAGGCATCTCTTCTTTCAGGCTTTAGGAAAATCACTCTTCAACTGACCAGAAATACTAACTTCATTTTACCAGAACCCCATCTTAATGGACAAGTATGAATTTCTTTATAGGATATACATTTATTTAAAGTGTTTCAGAGATAAGAGGTTGTATTATTTTATTTATTTATTTATTTATTTGAGACAGAGTCTCACTCTGCTGCCCGGTCTAGAGTGCCGTGGCGTCAGCCTAGCTCACAGCAACCTTAAACTCCTGGGCTCAAGCGATCCTCCTGCCTCAGCCTCCCGAGTAGCTGGGACTACAGGCATGCGCCGCCATGCCGGCTAATTTTTTCTATATATTTTTAGTTGTCCAATTAATTTCTTTCTAATTTTAGTAGAGACGGGGTCTCGCTCTTGCTCAGGCTGGTCTCGAACTCCTGAGCTCAAACGATCTGCCCGCCTCGGCCTCCCAGAGAGCTAGGATTACAGGCGTGAGCCACCGCGCCAGGCCCAAGAGGTTGTATCATTAATAAAAAGAAAAACTTCATAAATAATAAAAATAGTTTAATTTTTAAGTTTGATCTTTCGGAATTCTAGATTATTCTAGTGATTACGAATAGTTTAGAAGTGGTTTTGGCAGTGATATTAGTAAACAGGGGTAATAAATCCACTATATTTACTCAGAAGCATATAGTATAATTTTGAACAAAATTTAGTTTATCCAAAGTAGGTGATCAAATTTATTAAAATTATCCTAAAATTTACTTTTAAAAAACCATGTCAATGCATTGCGTATTTTAAAGGTATCAGGGTAAACTGCAAATTTCTTAGTAATAAAAACTTTCAATAGTCAACATATAAATTAAAACTGGAAAAAGAAATTTCACACAAAATCTTTCTTTGTATTAACACTATTATGTCTAACATGAAACACTATTATTTCTAAATGTGAAATTACCATTAAGCACACAATAGTTCAAACCAACAACTTTAAACTCAGGAACCAGCTCCTAGAATCCGCCCTCTCCCTCCTCCCACAGTGCTGTGAATATTTCTAACATTGCTCTTCCTGCACTGACTTGCATGTTTCTCCCCAGACTCAGGGCTCTTTGAGGACAAATAGTGTATCTTATTTATCCGTGTGTCCCAAGCACCTGGCAGACAGTGGGTACGTTTGTTCAAGGACGGAGTAAACAGAGAACATCTAGCTGTGGGTCATCTACCATTATCCTGCTGGAATATAAATTGACTTTAGACCTATTATCTTATGCTACTGCTTGGCTTGGTTTAAGATAGCATTTTGGGAATCCAAATGACATAACTGAAAACATTACTTCCCTACAAATCTAAAATTTGAATAATCCTTTTTTTAGTTTCTTCTCTTCTTCAGATTTGGATAAATCGTGTCTGCAAGTAAAATTTGGTACTTCATGGAAAATGAGTACCTTATTTAAACATGAGAAAGTAAATCCGCTGATGTTGGTCTTAGCTCTCTAGGCCGATTTATCTTGCAAACGGATTCCTGCTAAATCAGGTCAGAAAACTATTAGGTAATACTCAAGGGGGAATAAATTAAAAGAAGAAATGGGGAATTAAAGGACCAAAATACAGGTTAATTTTTACAATAGAAAAACAACAAACAACAAACAGATTATCCTTTTACAAAAAAAGGAACTTTTATTCATAAGACTGTTTAATTGGCCCAGATCAAATTTATTATCATAAGACAACTAATCAAGAAGCCTATGAAACACACAAAATTTAAAAATATTTCTAAAATCTAAATAAGTTCTTTTAGAGATCTTATAAAAATTCATGCTTTAACTCATGAACTGAATCATAAATATACACTACAGTCTTGAAAAATATTTCTTATCGTGACTATTTAACTCTTTAGCTGATCTGAACTGAACTTTAGGAGTCAAACATGAGTATTAAACAAATGATCAGTACATTGTTTTGTGATGTATTTCAAAAGGTGAATAAAGCTGTATTTGTCAAAGTTTATGCCATCATTTTGTTGGTAAGAGCACATATGTCAACACAGGGCTAAAAAGACAAGGCATACCAGTGCCATTTAAAAACCCCATCTCCCACAGGTGGTAAAAGGCCAATTAAAATACTTCTTAGAAATCATAAAAGACTATAATGGGTAGATTTTTAACTCGCCATGTTTGGGAGCTAAGAAATTCCCGAATTTTAAAAAGAAAGCTCCTAAATAGCATTTTTATTCTAAAAATAACAGATAATAAGTTACATGAAATAGTTTAAGAAAATTGTCAATATTTTACAATAACT